TGCCCTGCCGAGGAGATGTCGCTGCAGCTGGAGGACCCTTGTCCCTTCTCTCCAGCTGCTGAGCCCCTGCCCGGGCCGCCCTGCCACGGTGGCGTGTCCTGGTGTGGTGGTGACACAGCAGCAGGGATGTGGCTGTTGGTGTGTCCAAACAGCCCCCAACCAAACCAGGAATGTCAAATCCAGACAGAACTGCTTTGTGCCCTGGGAATTTTTCATTGAGTTAAAGCTGCAATAGAGAAAGAAAAGGCAAAGCAGGATTTTTTTCTGCATCCCCAGAGCTGGGATCATTGTCCACCTGCCCCTTCCAACCCTCTGGTACCAGCCTTCCTTTATACCACACCCCAGAACTGGGGTATTCCCTTCCCCTTCCCTTCCCATGCCACACCTGGAGCCCATTCAGAGCAAACCTGTGCAGGTGCCTGGGGAATGCATCTCCAGGAGAGCCCCTGACCCTGGCTCCAGCACCTCAGGAGCCCATTCTGGGCACAGTCCCTGGCAAATCCAGAGGGAAATGCTGAATGAGGTAATGCTAAATCACATTCCTCCATCCCTGGTGTGAGAGTGTGGCTCTGAAAAAGTGCTGCCATCAATATTTTGTGTTCAAATACAGTTTTTCTCTGAGATAACGTGCTCACTTCCCACAGCTGGGGCTTTCACAGGGTCAGGGACAGCAGTCACAACTTGCACCCGCAATAACCTCCCTTCCCTCATGGTCTGAAACTGGCATGGAGGAACAAAACCTACCACTAAGGCCCTGAGCTGGTGAAGGAATGAGCCCCAAGCCCCCAGCTGGGACCCTGACCCAGAGAACAGCCTTTGGCCCCCAGTGGGTGCTGGATGCCTCAAGCTGGGTGCTCTGAGCTGCTGCCACAGGAAACTCGGTGCAGCCCCAAGTTCATTTTCCATCTTGTTTCCTTGCAGATGGACTTTTCTGTGTGCCCACAAAATTCAGCACTGCTCTGGTCAAAACCCCACGTGGTGGGGAGATGGTTTAGACCCTGGAGAACTGCAAAATGAAGGAAAAATGTTATTGTGTCTCCCATGTGGAATACTATGAAGTTGCTGGAGCTCTGCAGGACACAGGAACGGCTCAAGGTGGCTTTCCAGGGGTTTGGCTCCTCTCTGGTGGGCCCAGCTGGGCCCTCATGTGGGGTTTGAGCTCCTGGGTGGATGCTCTAACATTGGCAGCTTCACACTAGCATCAAACTAGAGTGGTAAAACCCTCACATTTGTATTCTCTTGTGTATAAAATGTATTGTGCTGCCACTAATTCATGCATGTATCAGGGCCATAAAGGAACAAAGGGCTTTTTCTTTGGAGTGAGGATTTCTTTAAAAAAGTAACTGAGGAACGATGATATTTATTTTTTAAAATATTTAGTTGTTAGCTATGTCTTCAGATTAACAGAGACCCGACTGTCTAGTTGAGTATACCTTTGTGCACAGGGGTTTCTGACTCAAAAACCACTGCTATGCCCCCAAAATACTTCTTGCCAGCTGTGCCTTGCTGCTGCCCTTCTTTGGGAATGAATGAAGAGCCTGAGGCTGGAGGGAGGCTGGAGGGTCCTGAGGTGTCCCTGCTGAGGTGCTGCAGGGGATTTTTGTGCCTTTGTTTTGCAAATCTTTGCAGGAAATCGATGCGGGAAGGTGCTTGGGCAGCTGCTCCTGGGGGGATCCCTGCTTGCTTCGGTAAGCACAGCTGCCGGGCTCCATCCGCTCTCCTGCCGCACATCCGCACCGGGCCGGGCGGGGGTGACCCCGTCCCCTCACCCAGCGCATCTGCGGCTCCCGGGGGGGACCCGGAGCAGGGTGTGGGGGGAACCTCCAGCTCTCCCAGCCCAGCAGGGTGTGGGGAGAACCTCCAGCTCTCCCAGCCCAGCAGTGTTTGGGGCACTCCCAGCTCTCCGACCCCAGCAGGGTTTGGGGGGCACTCCCAGCTCTGCCACCCCACCAGAGTGTGGGGAGCACCCCCAGCTCTCCCAGCCCAGCAGTGTTTGGGGCACTCCCAGCTCTCCCACCCCAACAGAGTGTGGGGAGCAGCCCCAGTTCTCCCCGCCCAGCAGGATTTGGGGAGAAGCCCCAGCTCACGCACCCTGGCAGGGTTTGGGGAGCACCCCCAGATCCCCCCCACGCTGTGCTGTGCCGGGGGGAGAGCCGGACCTGCTGCCATGGGGCTGAGTTGGGCAGGTGGCTGCAGAGCCTGTGGTGTCCCAGGGCAGCACACACAGATCCTGGCAGTGGCTTCTGCAGCCTGGAATGTGCCACTCGTGTCCCTCAACTGCTGGCAAAGCTGTGGGGCAGGAAGAGCAGGGGGTTGCTGGGGCAGGGTGGGTCCAGGCAGGTGTTTCAGGCTGAAGGGGCAGGACTGTGTGTTGATTGTAGACATAAAAATGTGTCCCCAGCACAGGAAGGACATGGACAAGTTGGAGCCAGAGGAGGCCACGGAGATGCTGCCAGGGCTGGAGCCCCTCTGCTCTGGAGCCAGCCTGGCACAGCTGGGCCTGCTCACCTGGACAGGAGAAGGCTCCAGGGACACCTCAGAGCCCCTTTTGGGGCCTGAAGGGGCTCCAGGAGAGCTGCAGAGGGACTGGGGACAAGGCCTGCAGGGACAGGACACAGGGAATGGCTCCCACTGCCACAGGGCAGGGCTGGGTGGGAGATTGGGAATCAGGAATTGTTCCCTGTGAGGGTGGGCAGGCCCTGGCACAGGGTGCCCAGAGCAGCTGGGGCTGCCCCTGGATCCCTGGCAGTGCCCGAGGCCAGGCTGGACAGGGCTTGGAGCAGCCTGGGACAGTGGGAGGTGTCCCTGCCATGGCAGGAGTTGGGATGAGATGGACTTTAAGGGCTTTAAGGTCCCTTCCAACCCAAACCATTCTGAGACTCTTTGCATGCAAAGGGAAGCAAATCAAACCATGCAGGAAGAAAGAGCTGCTCTGCTCAGCCGGGGGGAGGTGACAGTGGAGTTACTCCAGGAGTAAGGAATCGAGGCTGTAGGAAAAAAGCTGCCTCCCTTCTCCCCCATCCCACTCCAGAGCATCTGCCCTTCCCCGGAGTGTGAACAGAAGGTCCAGGACATGGGGGACCAGTGGTGTACGGAGGGGCTGTACTGGGACTGTACTGGGGCTGTACTGGGGATGCAATAGAGCTGTACTGGGGTTGTACTGGGACTGTACTGGGGATACACTGGGTCTGTACTGGGGCTGTACTGGGGATGCACTGAGGCTGTACTGGGGATGCACTGGAGATGCACTGGGGCTGTACTGGATACGTACTGGGGATGCACTGGGGCTGTACTGGGGATGCACTGTTATTTCTCTAACTGCAGGGAGTTACAGGATGGAGAGCAATGCCTGGTTTGGGCACAGGCTGCCCGGGACGCGCTGCCTCTCACGGCTCTGACAGGCACAGGTTCCGCACGGTCGCTGCCATCCGGGAGCGCCGGGCTAGCGGGGCTGGCAGCTGCGGGTGGGGCTCCCGAGACCCCGCCAGACTGTCTGTAGGATATGTAAATGAGAAAAGGCAATTTTTTTTTTTTTTTTTTTTTGGAATAAAAGCTACTTTAACCAGCGGGTATAAATGAACTCTCTACAAAATGTTTCGCAGCTTGTAAAATAAACATCGTGGGCAATTTGCAGGTCCTTGGGGCTCCGCTGTGCAGCTCCACGGCCCCTCCGCATCCAGCATCCCGGAGGATGCAGCCGTCTGGCACGGGCTGGGGGTGCACGGCTTGGCTGCTCCCGTTTGCCAACTGCGGAGCCGGAGACAGGAGAGGGAGCCGGGAGCTGAGCGTGTCGGGGCAGAGCTGCCTCCTCTGCAGCACCCCCAGATAGCCCGTGGGATATGCTGCTGGAGAGCTGGGAAGAGCAGGGAGAGGATCTCGGGGATGCCGATAGTTTCCTCTCGCCATTAGCTCCAGCCGGTCGGTGCCGCCGTGCCTGTTCTGCATAATTAACAGCCCTCTGGGCTGGAATAAACTGTGGGCACCGCTGGACATCAGCCTTCACCTTGTCTCCCATCAGGTGGTCCTAGCAGGGCTTCAGCCGGTTGATGAATTAGTTAATTAATGCTAATTTTTTTCCGTTAATTCCCATGGCAGCTGTACAGTGTGTCATGTCCACCTGCACCAGCTTAGTTTCTCTGTGTGATTATGGAATAAGACCTAAAGAATTTGCTTTTATCCCGCTACCCGGATATTTCGTAAAGTTCAAGTATTCAGGAATTAGCAGCAAATGCCTTTTAATTCCCCGGAAGCCAATAGCCTATTAAAAAAAAAAAAAAAAAAAAAAAAAGGAAAAAAAAGAAAAAAAAAAAAAAGAAAGGAAAAAAAAAGGAAAAAAAAAAGAAAGAAAAAAAAAAGAAAGGAAAAAAAGAAGAAGACGCTGGCTTAGGGCTCTGCTGCTGCGGTGTGACCCCACACACAGCCCGGGGCCGCAGCCCCGCCGGGTCCCTGCTGGATCCTGCTGTGCCCATGGCCTCGGCTCTGGCGGGACACACAGCACAGGCGGGGCTGCCCGCACCCTGCGCACTGACAGGGACATGGTGCGGGGACACCAGGGTGGCACCGAGCCCCGCCACGATCCTCGCTCCCAGCACGGCTGAGAGGGGCAGGACCGGCCCGGGCAGGGGATGCTCATCTTGATGGGCTGCATTCCTCCGCACAAAGGTGCTCCGATTTGTCCCATTAGTGCCGTCATTAAAATCCAGTTAGTCCCCTACGGAGAGCGAATGCAGCCCAGCCGAGGCCCTGGCGAGGGGCTGCTGGCCCCAGAGCCCCGTGTCCCTGCCAGCCTGGGAGTGCCTGGTGAGCCGTCCTGCCTCCCGCTTGTGTACTGGGGCTAATTGATGCAGGGGGCCCGGGAGCCGGGCTTCTCACCTTGTTAGCACGGCAATTAGCTCTCTTTACCCTCCTGATTGCTCCTGTGCATATTTCACTGCAGTCCAGTTATAAATGCAGCGCCGGGGAGGCCGCGGGAGTGGTGCAGGGACAGCGAGCACAGAGCCATGCTGCGGACCGTGCTGCTGCTGCTGCTGCTGCTGCTGCTGCTGGCCCTGGCGCGCACGGCGAGCCCGGGCCCTGCCAGCGTGGCCATCCGCCGGGCTGAGGCGCTGAAAAAACTCCTGGAAGTCTTTGGCATGGAAGACCCGCCAGCCCCTCCGACTCACTCCAAGCAGCCGCCCCAGTACATGGTGGATCTATTCAACAGTGTCGCCAACGCGGATGGTGTCACCAAAAACCCCGACATCCTGGAGGGCAACACCGTCCGCAGCTTCCTGGAGAAAAGTAAGGGCGGGGGTCGTCCCCGAGGGGCTGGGAAGCGTCTGGGGAGGGGCTGAACGCGGCCGGTGGCGGAGCCGCCCCTGGTTCTGCTCTCCTCAGCACATCCTTCTCTCCAGCCCACAGCGAGGAGATGCGGTTCCTGTTCGTCCTCTCCAGCGTGGCCAAGAACGAGAAGATCCTCACGGCAGAGCTGCACCTCTTCCGCCTCTGGCCGAGGGTCACAGATGTCACAGATGGGCCCAAACGGCAGCACTTCTGCCAGGTGAGGAGAGGGATGGGGACAGGGATGGGGACAGGGACGGGGACAGGGACGGGGATGGGGACAGGGATGGGGATGGAGCTGTCCCCCAGCCTGTGCCCAGGGGTGCCACTGGCACACTGTGGTCATTCATATGTCTGCAATGGGAACACAGCCTGGCTCTAGGATCACATGAACAAATGTTTCACAGAGAATCATGATGGTTTAACTGCGGCAGGTTCTTAAATGTTCTTCTGGCTTGTGCAAACATCAGCAAAGGCACACCAAGGTTGTTACAAATCCATGCTGACAACTCCCCATCTCCCCCACACCTCTGTCCAGGGTCAAGCCCTCGGGCAGAGCACACCGGGGTGACCACCTTTGCCTTCCCCAGGTCAATGTGTACCAGGTGCTGGAGAAAGACAAGCCAGACACCCCTGGAGGGAAGAAGCTGCTGGCAGCACGTCTTGTCTCATTGCAAACCTCGGGCTGGGAGGTCTTTACCATCACGCCAGCTGTGAGTCACTTTTCCTCTGTTTTCACCTTTCAGGCTCCAGTGTAGTTTCCTGTCTGTAGTCTCTGCAGCGACATGGGGGGAATACATCCTCTGTGAGGGGGAGGAAATAGTCCTGCCAAGAGCCCCGGGGCTGCTTCATCCTTCCCCGAACTTGTCTCACTGCTCTGCAGGGTGTGCTGGTGCTGGCTCCTGCCACAGTGTCCCCTGTGCTGCAGCCCCGGAGCAATACCTTCCCACGGCACACGGAGTGTGGCCTCAAGGGGTCCCGGGTCACCATGTCCTGCTGCTGGCCCGGGACCTGCCTGTGGGGACACCGCAGTGCCTGTCCCAGCCCATGGTGACACTGGTTTGGCTCCCCAGGTTCGCGACTGGACCGAAGATGAAAGCAGCAACCAGGGTTTGCTGGTGACAGTCCAGAGCCGGGGGGGGGCCCCACTCGACCCCCCACCACTGCAGTTTGCGTCTGGCCGGGGCCACCACGAGAGCAAGAAGCCCATGCTGGTGCTCTTCACGGACGATGGGCGCCGCGGAGCGTCGCTGCCCACAGCCGGCTTCCCAGGTGGGTCCCACACGCCTGGCACCACTCCCTCGGTGCCAACATCCCTTCTCAGGAGCTGCTCCCCACATGTGCGCTCCTCAAATCCAAACCTCCTTCCCTGCTGCTGGGAGAGGCTCTTTCCTTTCTGGTGTAGCCTGCTCAGGGGTGTTGCCTGCTTGCAGATGTGAAGCTGGATTTGAGTTTGGCCGTGAGACTGAGGCTGTCACCTCCTGCTGGCTCTGTCTGGGCTGGTGACAGGCTGTGACCAGAGGGTTGCAGACAAAACCTGTGGGGAGGGGCGGCTGGGGGGGCTGCAGTATCTTCTCCCTCCACCCAAGCTCGCGCAGTGGCCAATGACATGGGATGCTCCTTTCTGACAGAATTAACGCCTCAGGCTCCCGATCTCCCGGCGCCCAAGTCTCGCAGGTCGCGCAGCACACGCTCGCTGGGCCGGCTCCAGCCCTGCCAGAGGCATCCCTTGTCCGTGGACTTTGAGGAGATTGGCTGGTCTGGCTGGATCATCTCACCGCGGGGGTACAACGCCTTCCACTGCAAAGGCTCCTGCCCCTTCCCTCTGGGCGAGAACATGCGGCCGACCAACCACGCCACAGTGCAGTCCATCATCAACGCCCTGAAGCTGAGCGAGGGCGTCAGCAGCCCCTGCTGCGTGCCCGACAAGCTCTTCTCCATCAACCTCCTCTACTTCGACGATGACGAGAACGTGGTGCTCAAGCAGTACGATGACATGGTGGCCGGGAGCTGCGGCTGCCACTGAGGCAGGAGGAGCAGGGGCTGACACACCTGCAGGGGCTGCAGTGGGGCTGCACCCGCTCCCTCCGGAGCACCAGCGGGGTCTCTGTCCCACAAACCCTCTAAAAGAGACTGGGACGAGCAAAGCAAGGGGGTGCTGGGCCTGCCCAGGATGGTGTCACCCCCTGACAGGGCCAGCCAAGGGAGGCTCAGGGCCAAGCTCTGATTAAGCCAACCCGAAGGAGCCCGTGTGAAACAGCAGCCCCAGGGCTGCAGCTCCATTTTGGGGTGCCCTGTGCAGGGCCATGAGTGTCTCTGCCCACGCAGAGGCTCCTGCAGGCTGTACTATATGTATATAGCAAGAGCACTAATATATGAGAGAAACTGCCTGTACAATGTCCTGTAAATGTCTGTACATTCCTGCATTGCTGTGACTTGTAAAATTAATTCAGAGCAACTATTTTAAAGTGCTGTTCTCCAAAGGCTGCCTGTGGACTCTGAACTGCTGCCAGGAACAGGGCAAGGAGACATCTCTCAGGCACAGGGCAGGGGGTGCACATGGAGGGATGAAGATGCAGCTGCAGCGCAGTCTCCAGGGCAAGGGGATGGGGTGGGTGTGCCCCGTCCCTTGAAAGCTGAACGATCTCAGGACCATCAGCCTGCAGCTGGGGGTGCAGGGAGATGAGCAGGTGATGGAGGTGCTTGGGGGAATGTGGTGCTGGGGTCTGGGGTGGGACGGGGGTGTCTGCAGAGGTGCCTGGAGATGATGCTGCGGGGGCGGGTGAGTGGTGGCTGTTGAGGTTTAACCCCAGGTGGCAACTAAGCACCATGCAGCCACTGGCCTCCCCCTCCACCCTGGTGGGATGGGGAGGGGAATCAGAAGAAAAGGTAAAATGCCTGGGTTGAGACACCCAATTGAAAATTCAATAATGGAAATAAAATATAGTAATATTTAATAATATTTATAATGAAAAGGGAGACCCCATAAGGAGGAGTCATAAATCCCAAAACAGACAAAGATGCCCAATACCCAGTTGCTCAGCAGCCACTGATCTGTGCCCAGCCTGTCTCCTAACAGCAACTGGCTGCTGAGAGATCAGTGTGTCATCAAGAATATTCTCACCCTGAATCTAAAATACAGCATTGTACCAGCCCCTGCCAAGAAAATGAACAATATTGCACTGAAACCAGGACAGGGGGGCAGGCGAGCTCTGGGGGAAGATGGTCAGAGGAAACTGCTGTGCCCAGAGAGAATGTTCCTCATGGAAGAGAAATGGGGTGGAACCAGAGCCCCCCAAGGCTGTGGGGTCAGGTTAGTGCTGGGGAGGTGCACAGAAGGTGGGTGTCAGTGTGGGTTACTGGGGAGTGGGTTTAGGTGCTGGTGGTCAGCACAGGGGTCCCCTCACACCTGGTGGCACAGCCCCCTTGTCCCCTGCAGCCAGGGGAGTGTGGCTGTCCCTGCCAGAGCACTCAGCTCCTCCAGGTCTCTTTCCAAGTTCCCAACATCAGCAGCTTAGCCACAGCCACAGGCTGATACCAGGAGTCCCCCTGGCATCTCCAGCTCACTAGTGAATGAATTGTACCCTGGCCTGGCTGGCACCAGTTTCTTTCCCCTGCTCACCTGGAAGCAGCAGCAGCAGCAGCTCTTGGCCCTTCCCCACGCCAACCCTCCCTGCAGCCCGAGGTCCCTCTCTCCATCTCATCCAAGGGAAGGGTACATCCCTTCAGGAAGCCTTTTCACTGGACATGGTCACACAGTGCAGGGCAAATCCTCGCCCTGTGCCCCCAGTTCCCCACTGCCTCCCATGATGTGAATACAGGGCAGAGCCAGCTGGTGTGTCCTGATCATATGCACATCCCAGCTCCAATTCCAATGCACCCAGGCCCAGGTACCTCATTCCAAAACTAATGTACGGACAGAGCCCTGTCCTTGCACTGAGGGACTTGTGAGCCCTGGGGAGATGTCCCCTCCTCACCCCAAATGATGAGCAGTTTACTGAATCACACACAGTGGCTGGACAAGAATCCATGACAATGAAGGTTTGGGCCTGGTTTATTAAATCCTGTTCCTGGGGGTGCTCTGGCTACAAGCTCTGTGTGCCTATAGTGCCTGTGGGCCCCATCACAGCAGCACCCCAAGTCAGGACCCAAACTCCAGGGCAGTGGGAAGAAGAGCAGATTTGGCTGGAAGGATGTATGGCTGCAAACCTTTCCTCTGGGCCTTCACTGAAATCTCCACACTGGACCAGGCCTGGGCTGCTTGGCTGGGAGGGGGCCTGGGCAGGGGGAGCCTGTGTGTGTCCCACTCAGCAGGGAATGGAGCAGCACCTGCACATGAGTCACACTGGGCTACCTGCCTCACACAGGTGACACTTCAGTCCCATCCTCACTCCCCGTGATGTCAGGGTGCCCTTGCCTCAGCCCAGGGCAGACAAACAGCCCTGGCTGACCGCTCTGCAGGACAGCATTGCCCAGCAGCAGCAGCAGAGAGATCCCAGCTGGGAGCAGCCCCTGTGCAGCAGCAGAGCCCCAGCACTGTTGTGGCCCTGCCCACAGCTCTCGGGGCCTCCCTGGGGGACAGGAGCTACAGGGAGGATGGCCAGGACAGGGGATGTCTGGGGCGGGGAGCCTGTGCTCAGCGGTAATAGCGGGGGTCAGCTCTCCAGCACTCTGAGAACTTGCGCAGGACTCGCTGCTTCAGTTGGATCCTCCTGGAAAGCTGAAGTGATTGGCTCATCTCATGGGCCTTCAGCTTGGCATAGTAGTCAGAAAATTTGTTGTAGAGGATGGAGATGGGCATTCCATTGAGGATGATGCCAAAGGAGATGCAGACGAATGCCACCATCCTGCCGAGAATTGTGTCAGGCACGGTGTCTCCGTAGCCCACAGTGGAGAGGCTGACCTGTGCAGGGACAGAAAAGGATAAAATCCCATGGAAACAAGCCCAGCAGACCCCAACAACTGGTGCTGGAACTCACTCCCTCCTGCCCCTCTGTGGAGCCACCTGTCCCCTGTGACCAGTGCCAGACCCTGATCCTGATGCAGCCAGCTGAGCTGTCCCCTCTCCAGAACCCGCATGACCAGGGCTCCACTGTCCAGGCTGTGCTCAGCAGGCCTGCAGAGATGAAGGAAAGGGCTGGCTGAAGCCAAGAAACACAGATCAGAGGCCACACCCTGCTCCCTCACTGCTATTGTGTGTGTCTCTTCAAAGGCAGCTGGACACCCCTGAACTGAGCCTTCCCCAGCAGTCAGCATCTGCAGGAGCTTCCTTCCCCCTCAGAGCCGTGGCTCCAGAGCTTCCTGGCTGTGAGCTGCCTGGCCCCAGACAATCAAAGCTTCCTGGAGCCTCCCTCCAGGAGAAACAGAAGCATTGCCTGGGAATAAATCATGTTTAGTAAATGGGGAGCAGGGCTAGGGTGAGATCTGAGGCCAGAGAGTTTTGGGCTTGGCAGGGAGCTGTGCTCCCAGGGAAAGGGATGTTGAAATGCTTGAGCCTGGTGATGCTGCTCTTCCTCAAGGAGGGATGAATTTGAAGCAGATAGCCTTCAGTGGCCAAAGGGGATTATAAGAGCAGAAGTGATCTGTGGGATCATTTAATCTGTAAATCAAAATGTCCTCATAACCTGTGGCTCTCAAGTGCTTTAGCTGCTCCCCATCTTGGAGGTAATGCCAGGTTTATTACAGTGCTCAGCTCTGCAGAGCTGCCAGCTCCTGGCACAAGCAGGGCAGTGAATGGGCAGCTGTGCCCAGTCTGTGTCCACTCTCATGACACGGGCTGAGGCACAGTGTGACTGTGGGTGCTACCTGCAGCCATAGTCACACTGTGGCTATGGGTTCCCCATCTCAGACCCACAAGCTCTTGTGCCCCTTGAACTCAGCGGGGCTGCAATGCTGCCCAGGCCTTAGGCTGTCCAGGGTGGCTGTCCCCAAACCCACAGGCTGCATCCATTCAACACTTGGGTCCCATGACAGATAAAGCTGAGTCACATCCCACTTGTTCAACTCAGCCCTGGAGGTCCCCAAGGCACCACCTCTGTCCCACCATCCCATCCCAGTACCAGCTTTTGAGCCTCTGGGCTCAGTCCAAACCTCTGCCTCCTTTTCTCAGAGCACCAGGGCACTCCCACCATTACTGAGCAGGTGGGAAGGCTGGGCCCTTCCTGCCTCGTGCCCAGCAGCAGCGGTGAATCCCCGAGCACTGGGGCAGCCCCTGCCTGCAGAGCCTCCCCCAGCCCCTCTGCAGGAAGCTGCTCCCACCTTACCGCTGCCCACCACCATGCGCAGGGGATGCTGGTGAAGTCAGTGCCAGGGACATCATGTTCCACCGAGTGGATGAGAGCAGAGAAGGTGAAGACCCCCATGGCAATGAAGAGGAGGAGGCAGCAGACCTGCTGGTAGCACTGGCGCATGGTGAAGCTGAAGGCCCGGAGGCCAGTGGAGTGACGTGCCAGTTTGAGGATGCGGAAGATCCTCATGAGCTTGATGAGCTTGAGGACTTTGCCCAGCTTGCTCACATTCTCCACCTTGTGCAGCTCCTCATGGTATTGCATTTCTCCATCATCCAGATTTTCAAAGAGGAGCTGGATGTAGAAGGGCAGGATGGCCACCAGGTCTATAGCATTAAATGCTGCCCGCAGAAAGTTCTTGAAGCTGGAGGAGGATATGAGCCTCATGAGATATTCAGAGGTAAAGAAGATGGCACAGATCATCTCCATCTGCTCCATCCACATTTTCCCTGTCTTGTTTTTCATCTCCTCCACTGTGCTCAGTGTCATGCCCACAATGGAGATAAGCACAAAGAAGCTCGACATGACAGCGATGATCTTGGCTGGGACAGAAGAGTACGGGTTCTCAATGAGGTTCCAGACCATCTTCCGAAACCGACCCAGAAACTTGCCATCAAACTGCGTCCCTGACTCCAAGGGCTCCAGTTCTGCCTCCAGTTCCTTCTCTATTTTCAGGTACTCACTGAGTTCATCTCGCTTTTCCTCTAACAGGATCCGGCAGCAGCGTTGGGAGTATTTCAAATGGATTCCCCAGTACTCGATTTCCTCCACAAAGTTACTGGGGCACATCTCATCCATCACCCACAGGACCCCACTGCGGTAGAAGTGGAAGATGTAGTGGAAAATTGAAGGATCTCTATCAAAGAAGTACTCGTTCTTCTGCACCAAGTAATCATCACAGAGCTGCAGCTTCTTCACGGGGTCTGTATAGAGCGCCAGCTTCCCAAGCCGGGTGATGGGGTATCGGGCAAGTACCTTGTAAGCTATCTGGAACAATTTGCCACCCACGTTAATGTTGAGCAGATACTTGTTCCTTTGGATGGGAGTCTGGCTCTTCTCCTGGCTACCATCTGCCACGTTCTGCATGGAGTTCCATTGCCTTACCAGGCTATCCTGTGCAAATGGGATGTAGGATTCCTCTTCCTCCGGGCTCCGGCAGCGGCCCCGGTGGTCCCCGATCTTGAGGCTGGCCGCGAGACTCGCGCGCCGGGTGCGCTGCTGCCTCATGGCGACTCCTGCTCCTGGCCACAGGACAGCAGCTCTGCCTTCATGGGAACGCTCCCATGGCCACACGCTGACTGGGACGGTGCTGCAGGCTTGGGGCAGCGAGAGGGGCTCAGCTGTGTCCCAGTGCCACGTGGCACCTGCCGGGGTCCCAAAGCCGATTGCTGATCTGATTGGGGTTTGCATCGGAGCACTCGGAGGCGGCCAAGTGCCCGCTCCTTAAGACACTAATGAGATTGAGGCACTAGTCCTTTATGTAAGGAACTATTTCTAGCTCTGCACTTCTCTTTTCCCTTATTCTGTTCTTATTAGCTATTTTCATTTGCTGGATGCTGTGTCCTGGAAGGACATCCATGACAGCAAACTGGAAACAGCACAAACTTGCCTCAATTTACCCCCTGTTGATGGGACAGGAAGGTGCAGACATGCAGGATTTGTACTGGCTTTGTGTCCCCACACCAGATGCTGCTCTTGGCACCAGCCCTTCGCTAAAGGCTAATGCAGCTGCCCCGGCTGTCAGCTGTCACAGCCAGGGAAGGGAGATGGTCATGACCTCTCAGCTCATCCCTCAAGTCCCACAGTGCAGATTTAGAGGGGATGAGGTGAAGGCACCACCTCCACCTCCACAGTGTCTGAGAAGATTCCCTGAGGGACAAGCTGCTGCTGTGTTCCTGCCCTGTGCCATCACATCAGCCTTCAGCTCCACGACTCACCCAGGCAGGGACAGAAACAGGGAACAGGACACTGGAAATGCAAGTAGGCAGTAAAAGTTCCTCTGAAGTATTGGAACTGAAAAGGAGGAAATAATCCTTTGGATTTGCAAGTAAAAGGGGAACCAAAATTCAACAAGCTGATCTTTGAGGTCTTATCCTGAAACATGACCCTACTTCAACATGTAAAACATCACACTGATCTCCATGAACTGGTCTAATTAAACACAGAGACATGGAGCACAAAGATGCTCCTGGCCTGAAAAGCAGCTTGGGCTCCACTACAATTGAAGTCTCTGAGCCTGGGGATTAGAACAACAAAAACAATTCCAGCACCGGACAGAGGAAGGGAAATTGCTGTCAGAAACACAGCCCCGAGTTTTGGCACAAATCCATAAAATGTTTTTCTTTCAACCCTGAAGCACTCAGCTCAGCGAGCAGAAAGCAAGACCTGCAATGTCTTGTGAGTTTGCCCCAGGGCCTCAGTCCCCATGGCAGGGAGGAACACTCTGCCTTGTACCACAGAACAGCTGGGCTGGGCTCGGCACTGCAGCTCAGAGCACGATCTGGGACCGGCTGGTGACAGCTGACTGTGGCCACACGGCCCTGCCAGCACCAGCGCTTCAACTGGCCCCAGCTCAGCCCAGTCCTGCCAGGACTCCTGGAGCCCTTCCTGCCCTGCAGTGCTCCCCACTTCGTGCTCTGCTCTGGCAAAGAAGGGACAAGTTCAGGCATTTTTTTCACCTTGTTTTTGGCTGAGTTCTCCGCTTGTCCAGGGTTCAAGCAGTAGCAGCAGAGGTGCCACTGTGGCATCTGTTCCTTCTGTCCCCACCCTCTCTGTTTGCTTTGTTCCTGTATTTCATTTTCTCTGCTACAGCTGGTGTGTGCTGGAGTCACATCTGTCCCAGGCAGGCACAGCAGCACTGGCTTCCTCACTGCACCCCATGCAGCCCACCCACCCCAAGTCCTCTTTCCCAGGATGTGACAATCCAAAGGTCATATAGCCCCTGGCCTCCCAAATACAGAATCCATGCAAATGCACATATCCAGGAAAAATAAAAACTCCAGAAATTGTTAATTTTACATTCTTTATTCTCCTGTGTCAGTCACCACAGCTATCTCTGTCTGTCCCTGGAAACAGAAGGTTGTGTGTGCCCTTGCAAATGACTCCTTGGTACTAAAAATAGCAGCCCTGGAATAACTCAGGACTCCACACCACATATAGAAGTTACTCCCCTGGGGTAAGGCAGCACTCACACTATCCAGGAGCGGAAGATTCCTACTCCAAGGTGACTGGTGTCTGCTTGGCAAGCCAAGCTCCCACCTTCAAGGCACAGAGGTCAGCAGTCAAGGCAGCAGCTTGGCGCACTCAGCGATCACTTGTGCAAGGTACACGTGGCCAACGCTGAACCAGAGGCACTGGGCACTAATCTGCCCCTGCACAGTCAGTTCTGAGAGATACACAGCATCAGTCCTTGGGTCAGACACTGTGTGAGTGGCACGTGGAGCCCTGGCCAAAGACATGACTGACTTCCAGGGACACCTCCACTAGACCAAGGTGCTCAGAGCCCTGTCCAGCTTGGTCCCAGGGATGAGGCAGTCGCAGCTGCTCTGGGCAACCTGCGTCAGGGCCTCACCATAAAAGCCTCCTTTGTGTCCTACCTAGGCCTCTGTCAGTTTGTACCTGCTGCCCCTGGTCCTTACAGGCCTTGGTGAAAAGCCCCTCTCCATCTTTCTTACAATCCCCCCTTTAGACATGGACAAGACACAACAAAGCTCCCTGGAGCCATCTCTTCTCCAGGGTTTGCCCTAACAAAAGTGCAAACTTATCAAACTTCATGAGGTTCCTGTGGGCCTGAAGGTCCCTCCAGATGACATCCCCCTCCCCAGCTGCACTCCTCAGCCTGGTATCATCCTCAGACTGGCTGATCTCACTTTACGTGCTGATGAAAACCCGGAATGGCGCTGGTCCCGGTACGGACCCTGAGGGACACCACTCGTGTCAGAACAGTTCTAAGGAGATGCCATTGAGAGTGTTAAGAGAAGCCCCATGCAGCACTCAGCACTGGGGTGGGCAGAGCGGGTCTGCCAAGCATGGAGATGTTGTGGAAGAAGGGAGTGTGAAAGGAGCTGCCAGCCCAGGGCCCAGGAGCTCCTTGCCCCACACGGGCTCAGGGAACTGCACAGCAAAGCCAGAACAACTGTCACCCCCACAGTGGCACTGTCAGAAAAGCCTCTCGTGCAAGGGACTGAGCAGGATCAAACAGTAGTGCAAACATGGAGTATTTGTCTGACCTGTGCAGCCAGTGAGTGCCTTTGGAAATAGGTGAGAAAGTTCCTGTTCCCTGACAAAATCCAGGGGGAAGAATGGGACGGATGACAAAAGGCTCTTGGCTGCAAGTGGAAGGAGACAGTTAAAGAGCACGTGGCATTTCAAGGGGAAAAACATCTTTGAGTCAAAGGCCACAGTGGTGGGCATCTGCAGTAATAACTGTCATGCAGAACAGTGAAGGCATTTCTGACACCTTTGGGGGGCTGATGGACAGTGCCAGGGAAGGTCCTGTGCTATTTCTGGAGCCAAGGCAGTCCTACAGTCTAAGAACCATTCATAAAGGGAGCATCCTCTTGGTATTCCAGTGTAACAAGCCAGATTTGAGAGCTGATGTCCAATTCAGTCAGGCTCTGTGGTGAGCAGGGGACAGACCAGGCTAGTCTCACCTTATCACCTTGGGATAAGGATCCCTGTTACAAAGCCAGAAAAACACCTGGTTATTGACAGTCCTTTGGGAAGAAACCTAGTTTGAATTCAATTTATGCAAAGTGGAGGAAAAAGTCCCACACTAGATCAGGATCTCAGCAGGACTGCTCCATGTCCTTGGCAGCAGGGAGGAAAGGGGAGAGTTCTGCTGCTGCAGGGCAGACCAAAACCCCACGCCCCTGGTTGGCAAGCATCAGGGAAGCTGGGAAAACCTAAGCCCCAAAACCTACCCCCCTTCCAAGGGGGAAGCTCTAGAAGCCAGCAACACAAGGCAGGAACAAATTTCTCCCTCAGGCACTTGGAGCACATGGGATGCAAAACACTTACCCTTCAGGGCAAGGAGCCTTTCTGGCCCTTGCCAGGCATCAGCTGCTCCCTGGAGGCTTTTTCTAGACTGGAGGTGTCAGATCTGCGTTTCGCTCTGGACAGAAACCACGCAGCAACAGAACTTGCCACTACCAGGATAATCAGGAGCCCTAGAGAGGAGAGTGCACAAGCAGAAACCCACTCACTACTCTGCTCTTGCGACAGGGCACTGCTGCTCAACACCATGAGCCGGCAAGCAGAGATGAGCAGTGTCCCCAAGGGCAAGGGACAGACAGAGAGGAGGTAAGCTAGTGCCAGATTGCATGGAATGGCCTTTCCAAGGACACAGCACACCCAAGGCACAGCAATACTTAAGCTGTGGTGTCAGGCCTCCCTTAGTCCTCCCAGGGCAGCAAAAGCAGCTCCCGATAGAGGTCTGGAATTGATCCCTACTCAATTTATAGGCCAAGGTAGGTAGGTCCAAGATCATGTGCAGCACTCTTGAGTCTCACATACCTGCAACAATCAAAATCCATGTGTAACCTTGACTGCTCCATGGCACAGAGGCCTCAGGCGTAGCTGAAGGCTCTGTGAGGAAAGAGAAACAAGTCCGTGAGGCTTCCAACTCACCTTATGGGCAGCACTCAAAGCAGTCTGCAATCTACACCTGGCTGAGTTCCCAGCTCACCTCAAGTGCACCAAAAGGCCTTTTTCAACTTAAGCAAAACCTTATCTACTGCTACTGGAGGAAAAGTTCTACTGGAAATGCATAGCAGGGAAAGATGGGAAATTTCCCACCTGGAGCTGGAACTGAGCATCCCAGCCTCATGGCACTGAAAAGCCACAGGTACAACCAAAATGCAGCTCTTCACCTCACCTGCCAATTGAACAGGTGCAGACACCAAACCCAAACCCAGTCTCTCGCACCTGCAGTAATCCCCCTCCTCTCCACATCCTCGGAAACCCCTGGGTGAGGGAAGCCAGAAACGCCTTCCCAAGCACCCCAGACAGCCAACGGGTCTGACAGAGGATGCTCCAGGGCTCTGGTACCGACAGTACTGGGGTGCAGACACAGCTGGACACAAGCCCAGACATTGTGTCTGCAGCTCCTGGCCAGCCCTGATGGCCCAGACTTCCTCCTCATCCTCTTCCCTGCAGCTTGCCCATTCCCCAGAGGTCAGAGGAGCTCGGGAGGTGGAGAGATTCCAGTGTCTTCTCGAAGGAGCTGCTGGGAATTGCATGTTCTGGAAGAAGGAAGGATGTACTTCAAAGGCCCTTCCCGAGGGAGCCCTGAGGGGCGTCATTGCCGTTCCAAAGGAAGCTGAAGGTTCGCGTCCCCCACAGCGCTTCCTCCATTCACAGTGACCCGCGGGGACCGCAGCTGCCCGCACCGGCCAGAGACGGCGGGGAACAAAGGCTTCGGTCCGGCTTGCCGCCCCCCCGCCCCCCGGGGCCCCGTACCTGCGCTGCCGGTGGGCGGCACCGCCGAGCTCCTCGGCAGGGTCACCGCGGGGCCGCCGGGACTCGGCTCCGCCGCGGTCGCGGTCCCGCAGCTCCACTCGTCCTCGCCGCCTTCACAGTCGGGGTGGCCGTCGCAGCGCCAGCCCAGGGGGAAGCAGGGGTCACCGGGCGTGCACTGGAACCAGTCCGGGGAGCAGCGGGGCGGGGCGGCTGCGGGAACGGGAGCGTGAGGGGAGCGGGGGGGGGGGGCTCGGCGGGGAGAGCCCCCCGCGCCCCGCAACCAGGGGAGCCCGCGCGCGCGGCGCACGAGGGCTCCGACCAATGAGAGCGAAGGGCGTGCGCGGGGAGCCAATGGGCACCGCCCGCCCGGCCGCTCCCCCAGCTCACCCGTGCCGGCAGGGAGAGGCAGCACCGGCCGCGCCAGCAGCAGCAGCAGCACCGGGAGCCCTAGCGGCAGCAGTCGCGGCCCAGCCATGCCGCGGGCCCGCACCGGAGGGACTCGCTGGGGTCGCCGCGCCGCTACAAACGCAATGTGCAGGAAAAGCGCGTGCGCTCCGCCCCGACTTCCACCAATAGCGTGCTCGCGGGGGCGGGGCGCGGGCGCGCGCCCTTGAGGAAGCCCCTCCCACCTCGGGTGCCCTTAGGGGCGGGGTCACGTGACGGGGGCGGGGCCCGCCCATGCCGAGCGGCACCGGGAACGGCACCGGGAACGGCACCGGGAACGGCACCGGGAACGGCACCGGGAACGGGCCCGGCCCTGCAGCGCCGGGAACGGCACCGGGAACGGGCCCGGCCCTGCAGCATCGGCACCGCAGCACCGGGAACGGCCCCGGCCCTGCGGCACCGGCACGGGCCCCGGCCAGCCCAGCCCCGTCCCAGATCCCCGGAAGTCCCTCAGCTCCGCGGCCGGCAGTGCCCCGCTGTCCCGGGAAGGGCCGCTCAGCGCTCCGCCGGACCGAGCAGGGAGCGGTCACGGCAGAACAGCGGCACTGGCGGTGGGGGCCACTGCCCCACGGCGCTGAACTTTTCTCGCAGAACCTGGGCCCGGAGGGAGCCCTGTGAGCGAGGCTGTGCTTTATCACCTCTGCTCTTCATTGACTGACTACAGCTTACAAACGCCCCTGTCCTGTGTCACTATTCCAACCAACAAATACACTGGTATTTAACAGCAGTAACTTGAATAAATCAAATAAAACACACAGAATTGGGGGTAATAATCACAGCTTTATATACATTTCTTAATCAGACATCAGCACCCTCCAGCAGCTTGGAGCCACATCCAGCACAGCCTCCCCATCAGAGCTGCTCTGGAACCACCTGTGCCCATCATGCAGCCTCAGCTTACTCCCTGCTCACAAGTAGGGCTCATCCCTGGAAATTTCCCACTTCCTCAGTGGTGGTCCTGGTGTCACTGGTTTCTTCCCTGTTGTTGTCTCTGCATCACCTGAACTGTGGGAGAGAAAGGAGGAGAGACAAGAGGCTTTAGCAACACTCTTCTGATGAAATCACACTTGAATTTCATCAGAAGTCCAAGCCGCAAAGTAGTGCTGGAGGTGTTTGTTAATCAGAGTCCCAGAATGGTTTGGATTGAGTGGGACCTTAAAGCCCACATCATTCCAGCCCATGCCCTGGGCAGGGACACCTTCCACCATCCCCTCTGGCTTCTAGTTCCATCCAACCTTGAACATTTCCAGGGATGGGGCAGCCCCAGCTGCTCTGGGCACCCTGTGCCAGGGCCTGCCCACCCTGCTAGGGAACAATTCCTGATTCCCAATCTCCCATCCAGCCCTGCCCTGTGGCAGTGGGAGCCATTCCCTGTGTCCTCCCGCCTCACTTATTTGCAAGGAAATATAAACTCAAACAATCAGTTCCACAGTCCTCTGCCAATCTGGGTAACTTCCCACTGCCGCTGGGCGCGTTCTGTGTTCCTGGTACAGATCAGGACCAAGGCTGACCCCGCTCCGCCCGCATCAGACCCACCTGCGGGCCTGTGCCCCCGCGGGCAGCGTTTTCAGCGCCGTCGCCACCACCACGGGCGGCAGCGACTCCCGGCGCCCGTCGCGGCTGCAGTAATAGTTATCGGCGAGCTTGTGGCTGGGGCCCACCGGGAGCCGCGGCGGCGGCTGGGTCCTAGGCAGAGAACGAGCCGAGCGTCAGCGGCGGGCCCGGGGTGGGGGCGGCCCAGCGCCCCGCCCGCCGCCCGGCTCGGCACGGCCCCGGCACCTCTTAGCGATCTCCTCGTAGCGCAGCTGCAGCTTCGCCTGGAGATCCCGCTGCAAGGCAAAGCCAGAGCAGCTCAGGCGGAGCTGCCGCCCTGCGCCGGAGGCTCCGCGGAGCCGGGGGCGCAGCGCAGCGTCCCGCGGGGCAGAGACGCCCCGAGCCCGGGGCCGTTCTTACCCCCGCCAGGAAGTTGCGGAGCCGCTGGATCAGACGAGTCGCCGTCGCCATCTTGGCCGCGGTGAAGGGCAGGGCCGCGGGGGGCGCCGGGAGCGCGCGCGCGGAACGCTGGGTCTCGCGAGACTTGGGGCTATATAAGGGGACGCGGGGGTTGGCCGCCCCTTTCCGCGCCCCGGAGCCGCCATGGACACGAGCCGCGTGCAGCCCATCAAGCTGGCCAGGGTGGGTACGGGGCCGGGGCCCGCGGGAGCCGCGCCGGACCGCGACACCGCGCTCACTCTCCGCTCTGTCCCCGCAGGTCACCAAGGTGCTGGGCCGGACCGGCTCTCAGGGGCAGTGCACTCAGGTGAGCGGGCGGGGCCGGGCGGGCGCGGCGCCGCGGGCCGGGCCTGGCCAGGCTGACGCGGGCCCGCCCCGCAGGTGCGTGTGGAGTTCATGGACGACACGAGCCGCTCCATCATCCGCAACGTGAAGGGGCCGGTGCGCGAGGGCGACGTTCTCACCCTGCTGGAGTCGGAGCGCGAGGCCCGGCGGCTGCGCTGAGCTGGAGCCGTCCCCGCTGCCCATCGCCCGTCGGGGATGGAGCCTGGCGCCGCTCGTCCCGCCGTGGGCGCGTGGGGAGCAGCGTGGCGGCCGGGTCACTGCAATAAAGGGTTTTTCCAATAGCCCCTTGCCCGGGTTTCACTCATCAAGCGCCCCCCGACAAATGTGGTTTGTCTCACACCTGCCGCTTTCCTCAGGTTCGGTAGCAACATGCCCTGCTTGTTACTGGGGTTACACATAGTGCCTGCGTTGTAATATCCTTGTTATTGCACCTTTATTGGCCTGTCACAACAAAAATAATTCTGTTTTGATTATAGTAGCCTTAATCCTGACTTTCTGGTAAACAATTTTCTGTATGTGATGGTGAAGTGGCACTGGAAACTGACTGGACCTGAGTGGAATTAAATCACAAGTTGAAAGTCGAGCTTGGTACCAGCTTTCAAAGCAACAGCCTGCTGCTTCTGTCTGTCTGTTCTCCGTAAACTGCTCAGTGAATGCTGCCATAAATAACACCTACTTGCTGTCCTTCCTGGCAGTCATCCACAGCATGTGCTTGGCACCCCTGTTGACTACTGCATCTCCTTTTCTTTGGCTTTCTCTTCCACCACAAAATCAGTTAGCAAGATGTGTTGTTTTAGGCTATTACATAAATCAAAAGTAGGGCTGAGAAGTTTAGAATGAGCCTTGAAACTGCTGGTGCAAGGGCATGTTTTTAAGGGTTGGCATTTTTTATCTGCTTATAGCATGGTCCATGTTTGTGGTGTGTTTGGGCAGTCAGATCTGCAGCCTCTCATGTAGGGTCTCTGATGGGAGTTTTGTCTACAGAGTCCTGAGCTTGACTGAGGCAGTTCAGTGGCAGGTGTGGCTGAGGATTTGGGTGTCCTGAAGCTGAGCAGAGCAGTGCTGGGACAGATGTGCATTGTGTTGAACTGGAGCAGGCACTGGGGATTGTTACAGGGCTGATGTTAAAGACTGTTTGTGGGATTTGTCCCTGCTGCCACTTTTAGGTGTGCCCTGGGCAGCTCATGGGCAACATGAGGTGAGGAGTTTGTGCCATAGAGAAAACCCTTGTGTTTGTGCTGTTGCTTGATGTAGTTTGTGATTCTTTGAGGGTTTCAGATGCAGAGAGTTAGCACAAGGCTCTGCTCCCTGGCTTGTGATGCAGCAGAGCTCAGAACTGGGGGGTGCCACAAGTCCTCTGAGTTCAGATTTGTGGCTGCTGTTCATTCCCCCACTTCAGCTTCACCAGTGACTCAAGAGTGTTTGCTCTGGCCCCTGCCAGCCCTCAGAGCTGGGTGACTGGGATAGAGTGGCTTAGAGAGCTTCTGTAATATCCCTGTGGGGTCAGCCTGGTCCCTGTCCACTGAGGAGGGAGGCCATTGGCATCTTCACACTTGGTCTGGTGATTGCCCTTGAGGGATGCAATGTAATATCAGCACCACAGAGAACCAGGGCTGGTGCAGGGCTGCAGAAAAATGGGCAATGACGCTGCTGCAGCTGCCTGGGACACTCCAGCAGGGAGAAAACCAGACAGGGATGTAGCCAGAGCAGAAAGTTGCAGTGAATGACTTGGAACGTGGGGTCACCTGCTCAGCTCAGGGGCTGTGCCTCTGCTGCAGCTCTTGCAGGGTTTGTTGTGAGCCAGACAAGGCGGCAGGAGACTGCAGATGTCACTGTAATATTTCAAAATAACTTTAAATTTTATTTATATCTTAAAAATAAACATCAGTATTAAAATACCAGTAAACAGAGCAGTGTATTAGGCAGTGCAGGAAGCGCTGTATATGAACTCCAGTGCAAAGCTGAGAGCGAGTTTGTGGGCAGGGCTGTGGGGCTCCCCAGCAGTGGGGAGGCTGGGCCAAGGAGCAGGGCTGGGGGCCACAACACCCTACCTTAGTGAAGGGCTCAGAGCAGAGCTGCATTGCCATGCAAAACCCTTCTTCTGGTCCTTGTCCTTATCCTGTTCCCACCCCACACAGTGCTCACACACTTGCACAGGCACGTTCTCTGACATTCATGTTCCCTTTGCAGCCTCCACGTGTGTGCTCTGAGCTCTTCTGGCCCATGTGTTTGTCCTGGTGTCTTCAGCTGCTCTCCCTTTTGGGATGGAAAGTGGGCAGAGAGGGACTTTGCTGTAGGCTCTGGCTGTCTGCACAGTCTGTGGGACTGGCTAACTAGGGAAATGTTTAGGAGGTAATTGGTCTCTCTTCCTTGGGAGAAGGACCTGCTCCCCTTGTGGGTTATAAGATAGGCAGATTTAGTCCCCAAATGCATCCTCAGCCCCTTCTGTCACTTGGCTGCAACCCTGACTGCTCAGAGGTTTTGCTCCCATTGAGCAAATCAAATCCCAAGTGATTTCATGTTGAACTTCATCCCTTGGCCAAGCAATATATTTTTTTTGCTTTGTATGCACGTGCTTGAAAAGAGGAAAAAAAATCAGATTTCAGCCAGGAAAGGAAATGTCATAAAAGAAGGGCAAATATATGAGTCTGGAAATACTCCCAGCCCCTGTCCAAGGCAGCATTCCCTCTCCCATTGCTGTACAGATGTGCCTGCAGAGCACAGTGTCCCTGCCTGGGCCAGGACCTGTCACTTGCCCTCCTGGCTCTGTGTCACTGGCACTGCTGCCTTCTCAGAGCTGCCAGAGCACAAACCAGGTGCTGTTTCTGCTGGGTTGGGTCTCTGCTGTTCCTCCTTGCAGAGGTGGCACAGCTCCAGTGGTCATGGCAGGGAGCACAGGGGATGGGGTGGCTTCTGCTCCCTGCATGTCCTGCCCCGAGGTCACTTGGCTCTGGTGACTTGGTGGTGAGGTGGCCACGTGTGGGCTGCGTCCAGCGGAGGAGATGGGTGAGGGAGGCGCAGGGATGGTGCTTGTGGCAGGAGTGAAGCTGCAGAGAGCGGTTTGGCACAGAGAGGTGGCAGGTGGGGGATGTGAATCACAGCCCAGTGCTGATGGTGGCCCCTGGCTGGATCACTCTAATTTGGTTTCTTCGGACTCCCAGGGCTCTTTGTGGTTGTTGGTGAAGTCCCCTGCTGCAAAGAGAGCAGTCGCCTGAGACCCTCCAGTGCCTCCTGGTCAGGCCAGCAGGGCTGTTCTGAGCACGTGGCACCTGCAACGCTCTGCTCTTGCTCCTGCAGCCTCTTCCTGGAGACACCTGTGTGTGTCTCAGCCCTGTCCCCTCCCGCGGGGAGTGCTGTGGTACTCACGGCTACCTTGGTGCTGTTGAGGTGGGCGTGGAGGAGCGCAGCGATGTCGCCGTGACCGGCCTCCAGCGCGATGGCAACAGCGTTGTTACCGTCCTAGAAAGAAAGGAGAGCGTGCAGGAAGGGCTTTGGGGACAGGGGCTGCCCAGGCCCAGTGGCAGAACCTTACACTGTCCACGATGGAGACGCTGCAGGTGGGCTGGGCCAGCAGCAGCCTCACGGTCTCCAGGCGGCCGTGCTCGCAGGCACACATGAGCGCCGTGGAGCCCTCCTCATCCTGCAGGTTCACATCAGCCCCGCAGGCCAGCAGGGCTTCCACCATCTCCTGCCGCCCGTGGCTCACAGCCAGCATCAGCGCCGTCTGGCCAGCCTGCAAGGGAGGGACACTGCCAGGCCACCCCTGCCCCCTGTGCTACCCACTTGTCCCCACACCACAGGACCACTGCTGGGACAGCCCTGCTGCCAGGCAGGAGGAGCTCCTGAGGTGATGCCCTCTCCGTGCACTGACACCTCCAGGTTTTGGAGCCATTGTCCTGCCCTCAGAAGAGCTGAGCGTGGCTCTGGCATCTGCCTGGGCGTGGGAGGATCAAGATGTGGTGGCCCTCAGACTGCACCAACCTGGCTGGCCTTGGCGTTGACGTTGCCCATGCTGAAAAGCCTCCTGACCACATTCATGTCCTCCTCCTGCTCAACAGCTGCCAGTGCTGCCAGCATCAGGGCGGTGTACCCAGCTTTGTTCTGGTGGTCTACGTTACAGATCCCTGTGGGAGTGGGCAGAGGGGGCTCAGGATGCTGCAGGGCTGGTGGGAGACATGGACCAAGCCACATGCCTGGCTCCCCCTCACAGTCCTGCCCACGGTGCCGTGAACCTTCCCACAGGCACAGAACTGCTGATGGATCTGCCCCATGAAATCTGGACACCCAAACGGGCTGGGGTGCCTTCTGACCCCCACAGATATGAACACACACAGCCCAGGGTATCTTTCCTCGCCCTCTGCTGCCAATGCCTTTCCTCTGTGCTGACAGGGCCAGGACATGACCTGGGTACAGTGGGATGGTGGCCAGGGGATGTTTCTGGGGCTGGGGACACTGACCCGTATCCAGCAGCAGCGACACGATGTGGAAATTGGAGTGGGAGACACTGTAGTGCAGGGCTGTGTTGCCATTCCCGTCTGCCAGGTTCACCACGTGGGCCAGGAGAGCCGGGGAGAGCTCGGCAAAGGCCAGGAGGTGGTTGGCCACCGTGTCAGGGATGGACGACTTTTGGCTGGACAGACGGAACCACTCCTGAAGGACGAGGCTGCTGCTGGCAAGCTGTGGGCAGAGAGGGGCTGAGCCTCTGCATGCCCTGGCACCCACCCCCTGCTGCCAGCCCAGGTGGCAGGGAACAGAATCCCTGCTCCAGAGGCAGTGGGTGAAGGCAGGACCCTGAACTGCCCAAACCCATGCTGGGCATAGCCTCAGCTGAGTCCACATGGGGGTTTTGGGGTTTCTGGACAAAACCTGGAGCCAAGGGCTGTATTTTGGGGGAAGGTGCTGAGCCAGGCTTTGCTGGCCCCTCTCTGAGTAGGGCCAGCTCTGGGGGATGTTGGCAGGGACTGGGCGAGCCATCGCTCCCCAGCGCTCCACTCACCACCTCTTTGCTCTTGGCAGCACCTGGATGGCCCAGGTGGGTCTTGACAATGAGGCAGGCCTCCCTCATCCTGGGGCTCAGCTCGAACCTGTGGAGAGCATGAGGATGTTCCTGGTGTGGGGCTGCATCACCCACCAAACCTGTGGGCTCTGCAGTGCCTGGAACTCCCCACAAGGTCCCCAGAGTGCAACCTCCAGCCCTGTGGCTGCACCCTGGCTGCTCCAGCCTCTGCAAACCACCATAGAACAGAGCCTTATATGGATGTGCTCAGGCACCATTCACCCATTCTTGGGCCACATTTTTTCCTTTTGTTGAAAAATGCTATTGAAGGCTGTTGTTTTTTTTGTCCCACTCTAAATTATTTTCTGCAGCAAAGAAGCATTTGGGGCCTCTCATCCTTTCCTTAGCAGACCCAAGAAACTGGAAGGATTGTTCCTGATGAATGGTCTCTGCAGCTGAATGGGTTTTTCCCACTGGCAGCACTGAAACTGGGGCAGATGCCCCGACCTGGCAGGGCCAGTGCCATGGCTCCCAGCTGACCAGGGAGCAGGGAGCCTTCTCCACTGGCACTTACTTTTCCTTCACCTCAGGGGGCTCCAGCAGGGTCACATCAGTCCCCTTGCACTCCAGTCTGGGCTCGCAGGTGCCTTCTCCTGCCTCCTCTTCTGAGGTTTCGGTGTCTCCCTGCTCTGAACTGTTGGAGCTGTCAGCTGAAGCCTTCTCAGAGGAGCTGTTGCCTTCTTCATCCTCCTCACTGGATGTGCTCTCATACCTGCACAGAGGGAGGATGCTCAGTGGCAACACAGCACAGTCTGGCCCCCTTCAGGCCCTGCCACTGGCCCTAGCCCAGGACAGGGATGCAGGGGACCAGGATGGGCTCAGGGGGGTGGCGGAGCCCCTGAGCACGTACTCCCCGTTCAGCACGCCCACAAACTGCAGGCTCTTCTTGCTGCCCTCTGCCTCGCTCCGGGGAGGACCATCCCGCTTCTTCATGATGGACTTCAGGGCTCCTACAGGGAAACAGATGGATGCCAAGAGCCAGTGAACAAGATTCATAGAATTTCAGAATCATGGAATGGTCTGGGTTAGAGGGGACCTTAAAGATCATCTCATTTCAACTCCACTGCCGTGGTAAGGGACACCTTCCATTAGACCAGGTTGCTCAGAGTTCCATCCAACCTGGCCTTAAACATTTCCAGGGATGGGACATCCACAACTTCTCTTAAGTAACCTGTGCCAGGGCATCACCACTTCATAGTAAGGAATTTTTCCTAATATCTAATCTAAACCTACTGTCATTTTGATACCGCTCCCCCTTGTCCTGTCACTACATGGTCATGTAAACAGTGAGTCCTGGAGCTAGCCAAGCACCCCAAACCCACTAGACCTCCAGACAGGCATGAAAGGGCCATGGGCAACTGCTGGAGCATGGGTAGCATTGGCCCTGCAGGCACTGTCCCCAACAAGGCCATCCTCTCTCTTCCTGCAGGAACATTCCAACCCAGACCCTGGCATCACCCCTGGTGACACTCACCGGCTGCAGGGCTTGGGGCAGCTCCACTGTCCTGTGCTGGGGCTGGGTCCCGGTTGCTGTCTGTCGTCTCCAGCACAGCTGGCCCAGGGCCTTGGCTCTCTGGGCACGTCCCTGCCATTGCTCCTGCACCCGGCACCGAGGGGCTGCTCAGGCCATCACCCCGGCCAGGCTCCATCACCTCACCTGCACCGGGCTCCTTCTCCTCTCCTGCCAGGGCAACGCTGCCCACATCTGTCTGGCTGCCCTTGTCATCGCAGCTGGCAGCTGAATCGGGTCCGACTGCCACGTCGCGCCCGTCAGGGCGGCAGCCCACGGCGACACAGGAGGTTGGGGGGCAGCACTCCACACCTGCCTCCGCTGTCTTTGGGGGGTCACCAGCTGCCCGGCTCTGTGTCACTACCACAGCCTCCACCAGTGCCTCGGCCACCTGCGGCACGGCCATCACTTCCTTGTCCACCTGCCCGCGGGGCCGGCGGGCGCACACCTCCAGCCGCAGCTCCTCCAGCTCCCGCGTGGCCTCCTGCAGGTGCCCCTCCATCAGGGTGATCACCTCCTTCTGGTGCCCTACCGTCTGCTGCAGCAGCTCCAGCTCCCGCTCTGCCTCAGTGGCCAGCCCCAGCGAGGACTCTATCACCCAGACAGCCACATCCCGGCGTCCCCGTGTGCCGCTGTCTGGCGTGTCCCCACTCTCCTGCTGCGAGCGGTAGTAGAAGACGGCATCTGTCATGGCCCGGTCCTCACCCACAGCCACGGAGCGGCACGGCCGCTCTGCCACCCTGGGGCTCTTGCCTGGCCAAGCTCTGGCGTTCCGCTCCGGCACAGCCAGCTTCTCTGTCAGCTTCCTCAGCTCTGCAATTTTGCTCGTTCGCCCCTTCGCTGGCTCTGCTTCACTCTCTGGCCCTGTACGGGGCCCCTCCTCACCCCCTGCCTCAGAGCCACAGGGGTGATACAATGCCTCGCCGGGCTCTGCCGACAGCTTCTCCAGCAACTTTGCCTTCTCCCTCTTCAGCTCGCAGATCTGCATCTCCAGGAGGGGGATGGTTTTCACCTGCTCCTCCAGGTCCCGGAGCTGCCGCAGGGCTGCAGCCATCTGCTCCCGCACGTGCTGCAGCGGGGCCGTGCCGAGCCCTGCGGCGGGAGTGCTGCGCCCCGAGCTGCCGGGGCTCACCCGGCCCCAGCCCGCCTGGCCCTCGGCGCCCACTGGCACCCAGTGGGGTGGCTGGCCCAGGGCACCCGGCAGGCCAACGTGGGAGGGACCACCAATATCCTGCAAACGGCCCTGCTCCTGCTCCAGCCTCCTGCTTGTCTCCAGCAAGGTCTTCTCCACCCGTGGGTTTGGCACGAGGCACTTGCGGGTGGGAGGTGGGAGCAGCCGCACTGGCGGAGGTGAGATGGGGTGGGAGGTTGGCTTGCTCGCAGGCTCCGGGGCTGCTCGGCCGTGTGGGGACAGCAGCAGCGCAGTCCTGCCCTCCTCGCTGGCCGTGGAGGTGAGCGACTCGGTGGAGGTCCAGGCGCTGGCGTGGCTGCTGGGGCTGCGCAGCGTGCTGGGCGGCGCACGGGACCCTCTCACCCTGCGAGGCAGCGGCACTTTCTTGAGTGTTTGGCCACTTTCAATATCATCGACATATTTCAGGAAATCAAGGTCCAGCAGGAAGCCATAAGGGGTTTCCACAGAATATGAGCTCTTCTCTCCATCGTCCTGGTCCCGATACAAAAATGGGCCCCCAAGATCTGCAAGAGGAGAAGGGACAGTGGAGTTAGTGGAGACAGGATGGCTTTTCTAACTGGGTTATACTGGAATTTACAGCCTGCAGGCCCATCTCCTCCATGATGTGCAATGGGTCTGTCTCCAGCACCCTCAGTGCCGTAGGGTATCACAGGGCTCACAGTCCATGTCAGGGTTGGTGCTGGAGTGAGGAACTCCACTGGGATGGGATGGGACAGCTCAGCCCTGCCACCCCCCTTGCACCCCTTCCACTGTCACTACCTGGTGACAACCCTGGTCGCTTTACCTGGGAGGTTCTGGTTCAGGGGTGCCGGCTGAGCCATCTTCTTCCCGGAATGCTGCTGATCAGAACACCATCAACCTGCAACGAGACCACGTCCAGCCAAACCCTGTAACCGCAGGGCTGGTGAGCCCCAGGCAGCCACACAGCCCTGACCCCCACCTGGGAGAGCCCTGTGTGCCCCCTGCCATTTGCCAGGTCCCCAGGCCTCCCCCAGCCCAGGGCTGACGCTGGAGCTGGTGGCTGGGCGAGTGCGGTGCTGCCTGTGGTGCCAGGATTGTTTGTACATTTAAGGAATGCTGCACAGCTCAGCTGGGATGGCCGTGCTGCCAGCTCCGAGGGTCACGAGTTGGAGCTTGGCCATACAGTGGGAGCAGGCCAGGAAAGAAAAGAGGCTGAAACCTGTATAGGTGCAAAGCCCTGAGCAAAACCTCACTCAGTCTGAGGGTTGCTTTGGATAAAGGGAAATGATGCTTTGGCAAAGGCTCGAGACTGCAGGGAGCAGCCAGCACCTGTCAGTGCCTGGGTGTGATGCCCATTCTTGCCACCCAGGGTGCCCCACAAGGCCTCAGGAGTGTCCTGAGGGGCCAGTGACCCCCAGGAGGGACCTGACTGCTTTCCCCTGCCCCTAACGTGGGATAAGGCAGAGGGGAATGAAATGGGAGCCTGGATTTCCCAGGAGCCAGGCACGGACACACTGGAGGAGGACCAAGAGGATACAGCTGTGGTCCAGAAGGGAGATCATGGCTGGGGGTGCGACCAGCTTGAGCACTGAGCTAGGACCTGCTGCAACATCTGGCAGCATCTGGATGCTGGGGCCCAGGTGTGAAGTGCTCCTGGCAGGAGCAGGAGGGACAACAGCACCTTGGGAGCACCCATTGCTGCTGTGCATGGCACCAGAGTTCTGATGGCTGTGCCCATCGGGCACAGGTGGCCATGGGGCTGAGCAGCTGTTGGTGGGCAAAGCATTTGGCACTGGGCTATTTTCAGAAGAAAGCAGGGGAGGAGAAATGCCACAGAGGAATGGCGGCTTGGGCACAGCCCTGAGGGAAGCTGAGGCTCAGAGCTGCCCAGGGAACGGCGTGGGATGTGGCCTTGGCTGCACAGAAACACCCACGTGTGCCCCTCACGCCAATGCAGCAGCCATGCCCCAGCCCTCGGCCCCCCTGACGCCCTGGAGCAGCTGAGGCAGCACCAGGCCAGGCTCGGGCTGGGCACTGAGTTCAACCGGGCAGAGATAAAACACTTCCCACTAGGACAGATTCTGGGGCTCTCCCACTCCTCTGCCAACCCACCCACAGCCGATGCACATCCCAAATTCCACCCTCCTTGGAATCATCCCACCTTGGAGCAGGCACCCATGCCACCTCCCTGGTAACATCCCGGCTCCATGCTGGCCTCCACCATTCCCAAGCTGCTGGCTTCATGCCCAAGAGAGTCCACACATCCCCACCTCCTCTCATCCCTCCCACCCTGGGAAGAGTTTGGCTTCCTCCTCTGCATGGTCCTTGCTGCAGGTAATTAAACAGTGCTGGGGCCAGGACAAACTTCCCCTGGGCTCCACACACGTTGTAAATCAAAGAGGAAGAGAGAGCAGCAGGAGCCAGAGCCAGCAGGAGCGTTTCCTCGGGGGGAAGTGGCCGGCAGCTCCCTTCCGCCGCCCAGCCTGGCCATTGTCCTGCCTGGGGACAGGAAAAGCCTCCTCTGCCAAGGCCTGGACACCTCCCACACCACTCCAGCTGCAAAGGGGCCCTTTGCACCAGCACTGCACTGGTGTCCCCTCCACTGAGCTGGGGACAGGCTGCTTGTCACCTGTCACCTCCTGTGGCCCCTTCAGCCAATGTCTGCAGCTGCATCCCAACTGTGAGGGACATCCTCCCACTGCTTCAGACCCCATTTCTTTTGGTCTGATAGGATGGCCTGGACCAGGGCACGAGTTTCTGTCTTCACCCAGCTCCAAAAATGGTGATGGGACCTGCCAGCTACCAACCACGTCCAAGTGGCCCCAGGGACTCCATTGATGTTCAAACCCTCCTGCAAGGAGCAAAAACCCCCCAGGTTCCTTGGGCTGTGCAAACTGTCCCTGGGCTGGGGAAGATGTGTGGGGCTGGACTGGACAAGTGGGGGCAGATGGTCCCAGTGTGCAGCAGGTTGAGCCCCCACACCTGTGGCCCAGCCACTGTCAGCACCAGCTGGACCTGGCTGCCACACCCATGGCACCACACAGGCAGCCACCCTCCACCCGGGCTCAAGTCTTGCTGGGGCCAATTCTATCAGCCACTTTGGTGCCAAAGGCTGATTTTCAGCAGCTTCAGCTGCTCTCTTGGGCACTGGTGCAGGTTGCTGAAGGGCCTGGGCACATGCACCCCTGTGGGAGCCCTTACATGATCCCAGCTCTCTTTGGAAGCAATGAGTGTTGTTTCTAGCACTGGTGTTTCAACAGAAAAGCGGGGTGGTACAAACAAAGGACTGGTAGAGAGGTTTGGCAGCAAGGGGGAGAGGAGGAGGATGCACAGGCACCCAACCACCCCCATGGAGGCAGGGCTGTGTTTTGCCCGGGGCTCACACCCGTATTTTCCCCTCATGCTGTTGTACCGATGGGAAACATGGGGCCAAAACTGGAGCTGCTCTGCTCAATTGCAATCAGAAGTCATATCAGGGATGAGGGAGGCTGGGCACCCTGGCACAGCCCAGGCACCGCCCGGGCCTCGTGCCCCAGCCCCGGCTGCCGGCAGCACCGTGTGAGCCCTGGCCTCATGGGGCAATTTCCCTTGGGCTTCCCAAGCTCCTGGACTGGCAGAGGAGAGGTCAGGGAGAGCTGTTCCGAAAGCTGGAGACCTTTGTACCCTTTTGCTGGAGGGCCACAGCTGTAGGAGCCCTCAGCCCAGTTCAACCACCTGCTGCAGCACAGCCCGAGCTGCTCCACCGGCGGGGCCAGGCCTGGACACAGAGAGGGCTCTCCCTGGCTCTCCTGAGCCAAAATACTGAGGTCATGAGGAATGTGAGAGGAACAGAGTCCAGAGCAGCCCTGGCCAGCACAACTTGATTTATCTCAGCCAGGCATGCTTCCCTCGTAGCTGAGCAGGCGATAAGCCCTGAAGCTTGGAACTGAGGCTGTTCCAAACCTGAGGGGAAACCACTGAGCAAGCACACGGCTTCTTCCCCTGCCAGCAGCCTGCCAGGATTCAGGCTCCTCACACAGCCAGCTGTCACACGTGCTTGTCACCTGCAGTGTTACCTGCCAGCACTGTGGCTCGGTGCAGCAGTAGGTGTCCAGGGCTCAGGCCACCTTCGTGTCCCTGTCCCTGCTGCAGGGGCTCTATGGGACAGCCTGTGCCTATTTGCCCAGGCAGCTGAGGCCAGCTGTCTGTGCTGGAGCTGCTCCTGGAGGAGCTGGATCCAGGTGGGTGGGTGCACAATGCTGACCCAGGGAGAGAAAGGGAAATGATCATCTCAACAGCCTGATTTCAGGGTTGGACTGTTATTTCTGGAGTTGTCGTCATCGATGGCCCGGCTGGCTGGGAGGCCAAAGGGGCCGCCCAGGCTCTGCACCCACTCCAGCCCCTCAGGGGCTCCCTGAGCTCACTCACAACAGGTGTAGAGTCCACACACAAACTTACCCACGTGGGGATCAGCTCTACCAGCCCCCTCACACCTACAGCACTATAGGCTCCCTACAGCTTCACTAGAGAACATCAGCCCCTCTCCTTGCTGCCCAGCAGCACCTTCCACCAACACCTCCCGATTCCCTCGGGGCTGCATCAGCAGCGATGGCCTGGGCTTGTCCTGCTGTGAGGAGGGGCTCGGAGATCAAACTAAATTTACCCGCGGGAAGCCGAGGAACAGCCGGGGTACACCCAGAGCTCCGTGCACAACGCCGGGGTGGGATCTCCATGTGCTCCAGGAGCACCTCGAGCACTCGTGCGCCCTTCGGCACCCAGAGGGGCCCGCAGCAGCCCGGGGTGCCGTGTCCCACCAGCGAGAAACCCACAGCACACCCAGCCTGACGAGGTCCCCAGGACCCCAGGGTGTCCCCAGAGCCCCCAGCCCTGCAGTTCCCACCAGCATCCCCAGCCTGAGGGGTTCCCGGCACCCCCGGGGGATCCCCAGCGCCCCGGCAGCACATTCCAGGCACCCGCACGTCGGGGCGGCAGCCCGTGCCCAGCCCCGGGACCCGGGCTCTCCCCGCCGCCGCCACCCGAGGGGAGCAGTTCCAGCCGGGCCCCGGCCCCGCTCCCCTCCCGCTCCCGCCGCCGGGGCCGCTGGGGCGGAGCCCCCGGGGCGGCGGATGCCGGGGCCGCCCCATCCCGCCGCGCTCCCGGGGCTCCAGCGCGGCCCGTCCGGGGCCACGGGCGGCGGCGGCTGCGGGGCCCTGCGGGGGCCGCACCGGGACGAGCCCCGGCCCCGCCGCCTCCGGGCCCGCCCGGCCAGTCCCGTCCCGCCCGGTCCCCGCCGTCCCTCACCGTGCCGCCGGGCTCCTGGGCTGCAGGCTGGACACAGCCCCGGGCCCGGGACTCTCGGGCAGCTCCGCGGCGCCGGGCAGCGCTGCCCGCCGCAGCCCCGGGCCGAGGGCGGGCGGGAGCGGGAGCGGGAGCGGCCGGGGCGGGGCGGGGGCGGGCGGGGACCGGCCCCGGGCCCGACGGGACGGGAACCGCCCCCGGCCGCTCGCCCCCGGCATCCCCCCGGCTCCCTCTCCGTCCGGGCAGGGGACATCGCTGTCCCCGCGGTGCGATGTGCCCCGTTCCTGTCACCTGGGGAGGGGTGTCCCCTGCCCTTGTCACCCCCAGGTCCCCTGTCCGGATTACCCTGGGGATGGGGGTGCTCCTACTGCATTCCCTGGGGACAGGGTTCTCCCTAACCTGTCCCCATCGGGGTGGTCCCCCTGCAGAAAGGGGGATCCCCTGCTCACATGGCCCCGACGCAGGGGTACCCTCTGCCCTGAGCTCAGCCCCGCTGCTGGCTCCGGCCCGGCGGGCGGCTGGGTCCCGCTCTGCCCCACCGTGCTGCCCCAGCACAGCCACCCTCGCACACCTCGCCCTCGTCCCAGCCGCGGCCGGGAGCAATGTGCCTCTGGGCCTGGCCGGGCTCCCCGGGCCTGGCCCCGCTGGGTTCCTGGCAGCCCTCCCTGTCCCAGCAGCGGCTGTCTGTCTCCTTTTCTTGCCAGCTTTCTTCCCCGCCTGCTTCCCGTGCTGCTCGCTGAGCCGCGAGCTGTGGGCTCTCCCCCATCCTGTAGGGACCCCGGCCATTCCCCACCTTGGAGCTTGCCCTCACTAACTGCTGCAGGCCTTTTCAGCGCTGAAACCCTCAGCAAAGATTTTTGCTACTTTTTCTTTCCTTTTCAGCTCTGAACTTCACGGGTATTTTTCCATATCTGGCACTTCTGTAACACTACTCACGGGAAGAGCAGGAGAAACAAGATGTGCTTCCCGACGTTCCTCCCAGCTGCTGGCAGGCACTTTGGGGACTTCCTGGGAAAGGGTTTGCATCCGGACGGAAGTACCTGAATAACTCTAATGAATCTACCTCCACTGACAGACCTCGTCCCTCTCCAATTCATTTGCATACTTGGCCTCCCCAGCATCCTGTGGTAATGAACTTGGTGATTTCACGCCCTCAGTTGGTCTCCAAAGCAGGTCGGGAATAGCTCGGCTCTTGCCGATTCTCTGACTGCTTGGAGGAGAAATTGCTGAGGTGCCCTGCACAGAGTGGCTTTACCTTGTCTGTCCAGGTCAGGAAAGGTGAAGTCTGGGGCGATGAGCCAGGTGCCAGCAGTGCCCAGCTGGGCTGTGGAGCTCATGCCCTGCATCCGGCTCAGAGTTCCATGATGGGCCCACATCCAGGTGCCTCACTTCTGCTCTTGGACCTCTGACAAAAATGTCACCCACCTCCAGGCAGCAATTCTAGTTTCCTCCCTGCATAGGGAAAAAACCAGCAAAGGAGGAGTTGAGGAAACATGAGCTTGGGAAGGTGATGTCACTGCAGCTCTGTGGGTGCCAGACCCCCATGTGACTGCTGCCACCCCAGCACGAGGGCTGAGCTGTGCAAGAGTGAGGAGACTGCAAACAACCCAGCATCACCAAAGGAACACGGCCCTGGCGCTGCTGAATGTGGTGCTGGATCACAAAACTGTGTGAGCTCAGAGATATTTCCAGGCTGAGACTCACCAGCAGCCTTTGAACAAGAGGGATGGCATTGTTCCCTGCAGGGATCAGACTCCTCTGGCTTTAAGTTCTGGTCACTGAGAAGAATCAAACCCAAGGGACAGCCCTTGTTTCTGATATTCATTGTTTTCTGCAGAAACTACGTGGGACTCAAATATGAGGCCATGGCCAGAGAACTCACCTAGGCTGGGTGATGTTCACACCCCATGCAAATCCCATCTGCGTCCAAGAGCAGATCACTTGGAGCAAAGCGTTTCTGCAGCCTCGACTGGCCACCCGTGTGGTGCCTTCACCCCAGAGCAGGGGCGCTGAGCCAGGAGCTGCCCGAGCTGTGGCACCAGGCTGGCTCTGCCCAGGCCGGCTCTGCCCGGGCTGGGGCTGAACCCAGCCTCGGAGGCAAATGGCAGCGGCTGCAGCCACACCTGTGCCAAGGCCTGGGTTAACCAAAGTGTAGCTGAGAGGTTGTGGGTGTTAGGACTGGTGCCTGTGTGGGTGAAAGGTGCACAGATGCTCACTCTGGGAAAGGCTACAGGTAAGGACCAGGGGCTTCCACAATATGGGACCAAGCTCTTGTATTCAGCATCTCTCCCACAAGCCTGCATGGAGGGGTGGGGAGGGCTAGCCAGGCTCCTGTTCCTGTTGTAGGGGCAGTTCTGCCAAAAAACCCTTGGTGGTTTCCTGGTGGTAGAGTGTTGCCATTCAGCTGTCTGGGCTCTGCTGACTTTCATGGCATCATTTTTTGGGTCTAGCACAGCTGTTCCTTCACAATGGCCATTGATATCAGCCCTGACCCTCGTAAGAGAGTCCATCTGAACAGAAAGCTCCAGGAGCTGATGAGTTTTCATAGATTCAGATCTACTGAAAAGCTTTTTTGGTTCAGAAGAAGGTCTCAAAAATTACTTTTCTTGTGAATCCCAATCCTTTTCTCTCTGTCTGGGACTGAGAATGTGATCACGCCTCTTTTCCCATCAGAGCAGTAGGAAATGTGTGTGCACCTGTGTGCATGTGTTGTGACTCACACCAGCACAGCTGGTGCTTCTCCACGGTGTGCTGGGAACAGAGCCCCAGGAGCTGCAGACTGACAGAATAGGCTGCATCTCTGTCCCTCTGCACACAGCACAGGAATTGGGTGGTGCTGGCACATTAGAAAACACACAAAGCTTGCCCAGGCATTTGGCAGGCTACAAGCAGGCATCTGCTGTCATTCTGTGTCATTCAGATGGCTCCTGGGTGGAGAGACCCTGAGAATGCTGGTGGGAAAGGGCTGCAGCCGCGTGTGCTGCAGCATGAGCCATTCCACGTGCTGCAGCTCTGGATGGCTCCCTTTGTTCCCTGGGTTGCGGGATCCTGACCCCTGGGCACCCTGCTCTCCCCCATGGGCAGCAGGAGCATTCTGGTCCCTTCTGAGGCAGTGGGCTCCGAAGTCCTGGGTGTCCAGACTGGCCAGTGGTGGCCCATGGCAGGGAGGAGCAGAGTGTGCTCTGGGCACGCCTGGGAAACAGATGATCAGATGTGTTCCAGCCATCTCCTGGCTGCCTGAGTTCATCTCTGCTTGCCCCAGCTGCACCAAGCCTGCCTGAGCTTGGCTCCTGGTTCCGCCATCCCCTCCATGGCCCCCTGAACGAGCTGGCCAGGCTGGGCAGGGTGTGAGACCAGAGGCAAAAGCTGTGAGGCTCTGTCTGGCCCAGTCCCCGTAGGAAAGGGTGTCAATGCCAGCAATATCCCAGCCCAGCATGCTGCCCTCCCCACAGGCACAGCGTCCCTGCCCAGCCACCCCAGCAGGATGTCCTTGTTTTCTGCCTGCAGGTTTGGGAGTGAACAGAAAGCTTGTTTCCTCCCATCACCTCTCTGCTCAGATCCTTCCTCCCTGAGATGCTGCAGCAAAACAAACAGCCCAAGAGTGGAGCTGGAGCAGTGTGGGATCTGGGGAAGGGTCCCCAAGGAGCTGTGGGTGCACACACTGTGCTCAGACCGGCTGAGCTGGCAGGGAAGGGGCTGCACGTGGGGGAAGCCACTGGGGGAAGCCAAGCCCCGGCAGCAGGACAGCCACCACAGACTCCACGCCAAAGCCTCCTGCCTGGCCATTTCCCAGCACCCACCCCCTCCTGGAGACCCCCTTAGAGCCAGGGCAGGGCTGTGCTGAGGCACCTGCACCAAACACAGCCCATCCTCAGTGACACCCTCTCCCTGGGGCCCTCCTGCTCCGTGCCACCTCTGCTGCCTTCCACTCAGGTTCGTGACCCTCTTGTCCCCAGCACAGGCCCAGCTCTGTCCGGGTGCAGGCTGCCCTCGTCTCCTGTGCCCAGCCCGTGTCCCCTGTGATGTAGCCGGCTGCAGGTGACATTGTGTGCCTGTGGGCACAGCAGGCCTGGCTTTTATCTCGGGCAATCCTTGATGTGCTTGGCACGGCACTTGGCCAGCCCGGGGAAGGCGGGGACAGCTTTTTTGTGGCTGCGATTGCAGCTCAGCCTTATCAGCGCTGAGGGAAATGCCGTGCGGGTTTCCGCAGCTCGGGTTTGCCCTGGCCCCGGGCCAGCCCGGGACGCTGCCCCAGCCCTGCTGCCCCAACACACCCCAGGGGCCGGGGACACCCGGCAGGGGATGCTCCTGCGCTGGGACATTCCAGCACCGGGATCGCGCTGTGCATGGAGGATTTGCGGCCTGGGTTGCCTTGAGGATCTGTAATCTTGGCTGAAACACTACACTCCTTCAAAATGGCCATTTTCCTATAGGGCCTCTGGGCCCTCATGTCCTCCTCCAGCAGGCTGTAAAATGGGGTTTGAAAATAGCTGCCCAAGCTGATTGTCCCCAAAAGGGGTGACTCCTGGAAAGGGGGGTCCCTGCCCCTGTGAATTGCTGTAACTCCGGTCCCGCAGCAGGGTGAGGTCCCAGCTGCAGCCCTGTCCTCTGTGGAGAATGCTCAGGGGCAGCAGCCCTGACATGCCCAGCCCCTGGTGAAGGGCAGGGACACCGGCCCGCGTGGGGACAGGGATGTCGCCATCACCTGGTGGGTGATGTGGTCTCAGCCCCACCCACGGATTTCCAGCTCGACCCTTCACCCTGCAGAGCACAAACCAGCCCCCAAACCCCTTCCGCTCCTGTGCTCTCTGCCCTCTGGCCCGCAGCAAAGCTGCCAGCGGAGTCCTCAGGACAAAGAGGGAATTTCCTACCCAGCAGATGCCTCTCTGCCCTGCACAGCCAAACCCAGTGTTTCCCTGGGGAGTTATTTCCAGCTGCTTTCGGGTCTCCACTCCCCCCGCCGCAGAGCCCCGGGGCTGACGGGTCCGGCTCCCGTTTGACATTTCCAGCGGAGCCGGGCAAGGCCGCTGGTGCCCGCACACAGAGCGGGTTCCCGGCTGCCGGG